ACACACACACACACACACACACACACACACACACACACACACACACACATACACACACGTGTAGTAGGTATATTTCCATGGCCTAGCCGAAGATTCATTCAATTTTGCTAATCTATCGATGCAAGCAGCGTGAGGCCAGCCAGGGGTTGGAGACTTACCTGTTCGGCGATGCGTATCTCATCCAATCTCTCTCTCTCTCTCTCTCTCTCTCTCTCTCTCTCAGACGGCCACCGTTGATCCCCGCAAAGCAACGCTCCAATTAGCTAGTTTAGCCGGCCCCCACGCTACGGGCAAAAAAAAAAAAACCACAGTTGCACTCACGCACCGGACCGCACTACCGCACTCTTGCACTCACGGACCACACCGCACTCCCGCACTCGCCCGCTTCGGTTTTCGCTGCCCGCCCGCGTCGGCTCGGCCCTCCGCCCCTTGCCCGCTTCGCTTTTCCCTGCCCGCTACTTTCCCCGCCCGTCTCTGCGCGGGCCTCGGCCCTGGGCCGGTTCCCCCGTGTCGGCTCGGCCCTCCGCTCCTTGCCCACTTCGCTTTTCCCTGCCCCCCGCGACGGTCGACACCGCCTCCCGACCGCGGTGTCCCAAGCGGTTTCCGTCGGGCCCGCGACCGACCATGTTGCCAGACCCTTTGCTTGCTTTAGTATGTATAGAGATGTGACCTGAACTTGCTTAGCTGGTCACACACGCAGCGGGCAGCAGTGCCTCAGCCCTAAGTGAAGGCTGAGTGGTGCACTCAGCTGCCTGATTTATTGATTTGTGACCAGCACTTGCTTGGCTGGTCACACACGCAGTGGGAAGCAGTGCCTCAGCCCTAAGTGAAGGTTGAGTGGTGCACTCAGTTGCCTGATTACTTGATATGCGACCAGCACTTGCTTGGCTGGTCACACACGTGGCGGGATGCAGTGCCTCGGCCCTAAGTGAAGGCTGAGTGATGCACTTAGCTGCCAGGCACAACAAATGTCATTTTATTTGCGGGTTCAACTCCTACTCGACTGATCACACACGCACCGGGCCACAGTACCTCAGCCTTAAGTGAAGGATGAGTCGTGCACTGAGATGCTCGATACTGTTTTATTTTGTGACCAGCACTTGCTTGGCTGGCCACACACACGTACTTTGGCTCTAAATGAAGGCCTAGTGGTGCACTTAGCCATCGGGTGTGGCTCATATTATTTTAACTGTTTGCTTGGCCGGCCACACACGCTGCGGCGGTCGTGCCTCGGCCCTAAGTGAAGGCTAAGTGGGGCACTCGGCCGCCTGGTACAACAAGTGATTATTGCGGGCAGCAGCGCCTCAGCCGTAAGTGAAGGCCGAGTGTCGACTTTTCTAAATAATTGAAAGTTGCTGATTAGCCCCCGCTGCACTAAGATATTCTCATTTTGATCCCCGCGCGGACAACATTTTCCGTGCGTGGACTGTAATTCAGATATTTGCAGTCTAGCCCCCACACGGAAGGTATTTTCTCGTGCGGACTATAATTGCAGTCCCTGTTGTGCTGGTTACTCCCCGCGCGGTCGATTCTCCCCGGACTGACTGATTTCGGGCACGCCCCGGGCTAGAACCTACCTTTTGAATGCGCGCCCATGTGCGGTCATGCTCAATGTGCTATTTGAGTGCGCACCCATGCACGCCCATGATCAGTATTGTTATTTGAGTGCGCGCCTAAGCTTGGAACTGCTATTTTAGTGTGCGCCCATGTGCGCCTAAGCTTGGAACTGCTATTTGAGTGTGCGCACATGCGCGCCCATGATCAGTATTGCTATTTGAGTGCGCGCTCATGCGCGCCCATGATCAGTATTGCTATTTGAGTGCGCGCCCATGCGCGCCCAAGCTTGGTATTGCCATTTGAGTCCGCGCCCATGCTTGACATCGTTACTTAAGTACGCACCCATGCTCGGTATTGCCTTTAGAGTGCACGCCTTTTTGAGATGATGACCCCAGAGTGTGCGCCCTGCTAGTATGATCGAGTTGGACTGAGTGGTTGTTGGATGTACTCTTGAGATCCGCTGATGGAATGATTTGGCATCCTACTCCTATTGATTTCTTTCCTTGCTGATCAGTTGTTGCACAATCCCGTGCCGATGATATTTTTCCTGCACGGGGAGCATTTGCAGTTCAGTCCCTGCACAGACGACTTGGCACGGTCCAGCCCAATACATTCAGTATTTATGACTGGTCCATGTGCACGAGATGTTTTGCTGATCAGTTCTCCTGAGTTGCCGTTCAGGCGGGCCCATCCAGGCGGACCCTTTCTTCTGAGTTGTCGTTCAGTCGGGCCCATTCAGGCGGGGCCTTTCTCTAAGTTGCAGTTCAGTCGGGCCCCTTCAAGCGGGCCCATTTCTGAGATTGTTGCCTTTCAGCCAAGCCCCTTCAGGCGGGCCCATTCCTTTAGATTGTTATTGTTCATACGAGCCCACACAAGCGGGCACTTACATTGAGTTGCTGACCGCCATTCGGCCGGGTCCAAACATTGGAGGGAGCATCTACCCTCACAGGGGTGCGACTATTGTTCAAGCTGGCCCGCCATCCTGAGACAGCCCCTACCTGGGGCAAACTGGTTGAGAAGTTATGCTACTGACATGTGGGGCATTAGAGCTTCATCATCAGGGCCAACGAGTCCCCTACCTCACGACACACGCCAGTGATTACCTATTTTGTAAAAGGGGCAGGTAAGGATGGAGTGAAGGGCACCACTTACGACAGGATTGCAGACTACATATTCCGCAGGGAGAGCTATTGGAGGGACAACTGGTCGCATGTGGTGTTCCCTCACGTACCATCAGCACCCGGGGGTGTACTCTTCGACTTTGATGGGTGTAATCCCAAACCCCTCAGCGACGCACGCAGTAAAGGGAAGAGACAAAAGGATGAGCGGGTCAAGAGAGAGAGAGCCAGATCCGGGGTTCCAATCACTACTTGCGTGCATCAATCAAAGACAGATGAGTCTGACCAGGACCCTTGTAGCGTGGGCGACGTTGATCTCTGCGACTACTTCGACTGGGACACTCACAGAGACTGAGTCTATTGGCGGTAGCTGAGCGATGAAGACCGGTAGGCAGCGACGGCAGAAGGCGACATTGAGGAGGATTGCGTACCTTCTTGCACAATATCTGTTCGAGGGTGATTGATTTCTATATGTCAACCGAACCTAGGGCCGAGACGACTATTGGACCTCCCAGAGGGGAAGGCCCTGTCCCACACCTCGGGGATGGCTACAGCCATTTGGTTGAGACCGATTTTGCTCTGCAAGCTTCTCGAAAGCCTTTTTACGGAGACCGTTTCCTTGAGGTTTCGTACGTCTACATTGACCGGAGGGGACGGATCGAGATATTGATCGGAGCTACAGGCGATATTACCCTTGCAGAGGAGCTTTATCTTAGGAGTGATGCAGATGAGGAGATGGATAGGTGCATGGCATACATCAACAAGATCGCTCATGCGGCACCCATGGATATCAGCTATGTGGCCCCAGAGTCAATAGCAACCAGGGTTCCCAATGGCGAGGAGGATCAGCGCGTGCCGAACATGGAGTCTCAGACAGTCAAGCCCATTCACGAGGGGGTACCGCTTTTCATTATTGATTGAGACTCTCTCTCTAGTCAATATGATATACTATGACATTATTCTGATTTATTAATGACTGCAGCCCTCCAATGGCTGTTCCCTACATTCCCTGTGTACTACTCTTCAGTCTCGTGTCTTTGGTCATGCTCTTGCAGAGTCTGGTTTCTAGTCTTTTCATCCTCTGAGTGTCATTATTCTATGATGCATGTCCTGTAATGTATGGAATGTTTTATGCATGAGATGATACGCTATTTATCACTCCTTATCATATAGGTTACACTCAAGGCTACTTCCTGGATAGTAGGGACTGGTGACCTTGAGTTCGCCTTTATACGGGGTCAGGTGCAAGCGATAAACCTGAATGCCTCACTCTGAGCCATGTCGCTGCTGGTAGGAGGAATAACCCTGACCACTCGACTGCGTGACAAAGGCTGCTTGTGAATGCACTTTTATAAAATTTCCTTGAAACTTACCAAAA